CCTGGCAAGAATTACTATGAAGGCCCGATAATACCCATGATGTCGTTTACCCCCAATCTAGGTGCGTCTAGGAAGTGCTCGAGTAGGATCGCTGACTCAGGCCAAGTTTGAGCGGCCAGGTTCTTCCAAATACGTCCATGTTAGGAAGAACACTCCAAAACGTGGGATTTCAAAGGCATCCATTCTTTTACGTTTTAATTCAGTATGGAAGTTCTTGCCCGGTTCAAATGAACCTCGGTTCACAACCACGCTACGTTACTTCAAGATACGATTCAAGACACGTAGAATATAGAACAGTAGCGCTCTCGCGATCTCGCGCCCGAGGTCTTTCAGCCAACTAGTTTCAGTTCACCGTGTAGTAGTTTCTTCGTAGTGGATGAACAAAACTGATCAAAAATGAAAGCAATGATTGAGGCTATTTTTATAAATGAAAGCCAATATTCTAAACGAGGCAGCGACTCTTCGGTAAGATTTGGCACTTCAGGTTTCACAGACGAGAAGGTAAACGAGTGCGCTTGTGACGTACCATTCGTAACTTACATTAGTTGTGTGGTGTTTGGTTGATGCAGTGTGTCTGGGTTGGTAAGTCGGAGGCGAACAATGGAACAATTTATTAGAACTGAAGCTTGTTCATTAGGCTTCGTGATGTCACATGAAGCGATCCAAATAAGGCTGAAGCTGGTAGGAAAAAAACTGTCGAGTGTAAATAACTGAGCGTATTACTACAGTAGTTATACGTGTTGGTTTGCCTTCCACTGAGCAAAGTCTGTCTTGTCTGTTGTGGTTGCGTAAGGAGGCATAACTACAAGCTCAATGAGGCGCTGTATTTCGAGGACAGTCGCACTATTCGGCTTGAAGTTTTCTAGATATTGTCTTGTGATTTTTCCGTAAGTGTAAGCCCATTCAAGCTAACCGCTCGAGATAGGGCGACATACAGTGTTTGAGAAGGTGCTCCGTTGTGTCGTACGAGTGGTGTCACGACGATGCCATCACAGCAAGTCTGGCCCTGCAATTTCTCAGTTGTACATGAGAATGCGGGCACAACAGCGAATTGATCGACTGTGATGGAAGCTTGGGCCAAGTTGGGGAACCTTTTTAGCTGCAAGCGTGCGTGTAACAACGGGAGACCAATGACACATTCCATATCCAGTTAAAAGAATGGTTTTGCAATTGAAGATTTTGATGAGAAGGAGGTCTGGGCGAAGCTCAAGTCGGTGGATAGGAACTCCATTGACCATGTACCGTGACATTTGCAGCTCGTTCGGAGGTGGATACATTCCAACTATCGTCCCAAGGACCCCGTTGGCTATGATATCAGCGTCGAGTAGCAAAGGATGCTTTCGTGTCACCATAATAGGCATCCCGATGTAAAACAGCAATCGAATAGGAACTCTGTCGGTGACGTCGTCAGTTGCGTTGGAAAGATGGGCGACAATTTGTTTTGAGCGCGATGACGAAGCGGCCATACATTCGTAGACAGCTACGTTGTGTGTTTCGGCAACTTGGAAGATCATGTGGTTGTTTATTGCGCAACAAAGCCGGTTAGTGGACACGACGAATGGTCGATGAAAAGAGCCGCTAGTTGGTGATGCTCGGGTTTTTGATTGAGTGGAAGACTGGACACGAGTATTCAAAATGCAAAGTTATTCATCAGAAAGACGCCCCCAGTGAAGGCAGTCGAGAATTTCGGTGTATACGGGATCCGTTCGTGCTCGCATGTCCTGTGTCAAGAAGATAACAAGATTAATTGCTGAATACAGTGCGTAACCGGCGTGTCGAAGACGATTAGCTGTACAAGGTGGTGGTCGGAAGCCTACCCATAACCAATAAGAAAATATTAGTTTTTAATTAAAACATATTTATCATCACTGGAAACGTACATGGATAGCCCCCGATAGGAGGAAGTTGCAAGTAGTCACCAATTAACAAAATATGTCTCCCGCCCATGAACTTTTGCGGCGACGTCGACATTGAACGGGAAACGGTGTCTGTTTCACCAAGTAAAGTTTGATCGGTAATAGAAATTTCGTCAATGATGATCAAGACTACCTGGCCAAATCGCCCTCTCATCTCGTTTGAAGGAGGAGCATTGGATTCAGCTCCGTTAGGTTTCAGGTTGCGCGCACTGTGCATCGTTTTCCCGTGAATATTAATTGCGGCTGCACCTGTGAATGCCAAAGTCTCAACGCTGCCGTCACGACCCCACTTTCGTGCTAGAGTTAGTAGTGCCTGCACTACCGTTGATTTTCCCGTCCTCCAAGATACGCAATTAGTTGGGCTTTGATGTCATAGACAACAGGTCGTGTCGAAATAGGAAATGATGCTTCACTGCTAGTACTCTCATGTCTTCAGAATATGCGTAGATCAAGTGGCGAGCGGTTGCCTCAAAAATCACGTGTTGCCAAAAATTAAGCTTAAAAGCTTCAGACAACATCGCAATCGTAGGAAATGAGGGAAGCGAATCGGGCGTCCAACGTGGTTCCGATGGAGGTGAGGAGCACGGAACAGAACCATAACAGTCTTTTAATCGTTCTAGTCGAGTCGACGCGGTGCGAAAAGTGTCAATAAAACGCTGAGTCCCACAACAATCTCTATCTTGGTTTGGCTTAATTATTCGCGACGAGAACGTATCCAGCGTGAAATCGTGAGGTAGAAGCACGGAGTTGACGGAGCGGTATATTTTGCATGTGGATGCCACAGAATTCCTCAATGTCGATACGGAGTTGATTGTGGTTTCTGCATCGTTGATGAGCTTTGTCGTTGACATAGCAGATGAAAAATCAGCCGTAGAGTCAATAAAATCGCCCGGTGAAAGTTCCGCCATAGGTTCGCCTTCATCTCCTGTATCACTTGGCTCTGGGGCAGTGCGAGACGGAACATTCGATGTCGTAGCTGGAGCTCTCGTTCTTATCAAAAAGTCTTCAGGAGATTCCTCATCGCGACCATCGTTTCGCTGGGCATGGTAATAATCTTGCCATTGATCTTCGTATTGCTGCAAAAGCCGGACGTTACGCCTATGTCCATCACGAATAAATGTACGGTAGGACTCAAGAGGGCTTTGACCTGCGAGTAAGAGCTGCGAACGTCTGTGAGGTTTGAAAAGAGTCAAAATCGCCAAGTAATAGTAATCAATCCGGTCTTGGCTCAAATTCGAAGAAATGTCAGGTATTTCTTCGCCACATAACACGAAAACCTTTCGGTGCGGGCTCGTAGAGAACCCTACTGAGGGTGGTGTTGATTTATGTTTTCGTGATATTGATTTTAGCTTGTTCGAGTACTCATAATTCTCGCAAATTTCAATAAATGACACGTTTTCCAGTGGACGATCACGATTCCAATACCGTTCCAATGCCGAGTGCGTAGATACGGTAGCTTGAACAGGATCCAAATCACGTGCATGTTGGTGAGAAACAGAAATTTCAACAGAATCGATATGTGGTTGCAGCATGGTTTTCAAATTGATGTGAATGAAGTCGTGAGAGAACCAAAATGGGGTTTCATGGAGAATGTACAGAGCAGCCATCGTCGCAGCTACCTCTTGCCCATTTGTGACGCTATACAGCATAGATCCAAAAATTCGATAGCCTTTTTCCATCGGCGATGTTTCAGGTGGCAAACATTGTGCATTTGTTGTAGCTTTCGCGAAGGCTGCCAACGAGAGAGCTGAGTAGTTGTCGATTGCATTTTGACTCTTGCAGCAGTATTTGATGACATACGCCGCTGCATTTTTTGGTTCCACTGCTAAATACAAACTGTGCATCGTGATTGCATTTCAGCGTAGCCATTATAACTGGGTTGTAGGCGTTTACATATTCACATCCAATTGCACGGTGAAGTCGGAGCTTCGTACCGTTTTCAATTGTTGATACGCCGATATGGACTGGTTCAGGCTTAAGAAATCTGCAAATACTCGCCTTCGGCGTTCTAATCGTTGACTGAGAACAGGCAAAGGAAGAAATAGTTAATAACGTGGATGCACGTGTTCTTGAGACTCGTTAGATGCGCACCTTAAAGCAGGACCGGTAGTGGTTCCAGTAGTACATCCCTTACTACCAACGACGTTGCCAGCATTCCAGATGAAACTGTTTGAGGGGGTCTACATTTCTCGAAATCTGTTGAATCGTCGTTTACCTGTGCATGCGTGGTCTCTGCAATGGCTTCAATCGAGAGATTGATAATGTCTTTATCCCGGAAAATTGCATCACAGTTATCGCACCTAGCAGTCGGCGGTGGGGATGCTCCAGGTGCAGGGTGTCTGAATGCATCCACTCCTGGTGTAATTGATACCAAAGAATCGTCTTTTAGACAAATTGGACACCTTTGCTCAGCTATAATACACGGAGGTTTCGTAGAGAGGACCGTGTCAGCTAGTTGTATAAGCCGACGCTGAAATGTTACGTCCGTTTCAAGAGCATGGTTGAATGCCTTTGCAGTCGTAGCAAATCCATGTAGCCATACAGCACAATGCGCATGTAAGTCACCTGCTCGTTGTGTTTCTACTGCAGCACCGAAAGCTCGGGCGATACCAAAAACACTACCCCCGCACTTAGGAGCATGGGCTTTGGAATCCCACCCTAGCAATACGCCAATGACTGTTTCCATTACCTGTAGAAAATAGCGAGCACATTCCATCTATACATGGAGCTGCCCATTATCTTCTGAGACTCGTCAGACGCTTTCTTCCTTCTCTTGGCCGGTGGCATCGCTGATCCGCCGCAAATCAGTATATGTTCCCGCGTTGCAATCCCTACGTTGCAATCATGTTAGAAGTATGGTTAATACGTATATGGAATCCATATTTAATTCTTGTACCCTCACCAGGTATATCTCATTGCTTATAAATGTTTCCAAATATCGATCAAGTTTCCAATTATACAACGGCCAAAGCTCATTTTACCCCGTACTAAAGTCGTTCAATATATATATATATCACTTTTGAGAAAGCCGGACCACGATCGGGGGTCTCACTTAGAGCAGGTTGTGCGTGGGGAACTCTCGAACGTTAGTGCCTTGCCAGACTTGGGGTTCGGCTTGCGCTGCTTCGCCGCAGGTTCCGATTCTTCATTGATACTTGAGTTGCGTCTCCACACAGACTTCCTCGAGGGTGTTCGAGTATCCACGTCGCCTCCTTCTCCACTCGAGTGAGGAGTGTGACCACCAGCAATCGGCGATGAATGAGGAGGTATCACCGCCGTTTCTTCTCTATCTGCAGATTTTGAAGAAGTGACTTGGAGTTGATCTCCATGGTTGCTGACATCAGCACACTGTGTTACATGAAGATGAGCATTCTCGTTGTTAGCCGATTGGCCACAAATCAGCGGCTCCGTCTCAATACGTTGACGAATCTGCTGCTGCCCATCGGGTTGCCGTACATCAGCTTAAGAGAATGAACTCTCTCGAATCGGTAGCTGAAGCCTGGCCGATAACTCAGCTGATTGAGCTCTTCATCTCGGTTTTTCCAGATTGTCAACTGGAAGACGCACTTATGACGGCGAGGGACGTCGAGCAGATTAAACATCTCCAGTATTTTCTCAAAATCGCCTTCGTCATCCCGCCCAACTAAGTCCAGACGCCAGAATCGATCACGTTGTTCAATGCGTAAAACACACATCTCAAACGAAATGTTCATGTTTGGAGCAGGGCATTCGTTAGAGATTAGCGATCTCGCTTCTTCCACAGAATGGATAGCGGGGCGTGCTGCTTCAATAGTCTGCTCTTGATGCTCGGCATGCAGTAGTTCCAAGGTTGTGGGCATCGCGGAAAATTGTGAACTGGACTGTACTGCGTTAGCATCGGGGAACCGATTCCATGGATGAAAGAAAGCAAATTGCTCATTGCTGTAAATGATCAATAGTTACCATTCAGCACATCCCACATGTACAACATTCTCCTGTGTTTTAAGCATCATCGCGTACCATTTTCTGTAGATTCACAGGTATACCGCGCCCTGGAATGCTTTTCTTTGCTATAGTCCTGTGCAACGCATATTTGTGGTCCTCGTTGTATCGGAGGTACCGCGTCGAAATAAAAGCCGCATAAACTTCATTACGCCCAGATGTATCTATGGGCTTCTGGTGTCGGTATGGCGTCGCCAGCATACACTGGCAATACACGACAACGTACAAATAATTCCGTGCATTCCAAAAATACATCTTCGTTGACGTTGGCAGTACCAACGTCTTTCCTAGCGCCAAAATCTGCATTCGCACTCATGACGTGCCCCACTTGTCCTGACACGTTGCACTGGTGTTCTGCGGGCACTACTTCAAATGAATAGACTTGGCTTACGAGTCCATTAAGCATTTACCTGTGCTTCCAGCAATGCCGAAGTCTTCATACACCGATCCGTATAGTGCACTTGGACATCGGAACGAAAATACTGTTGCCGCTCAGATGGCTACACCCGGCACTGGTTTATCCGACTCAGGACACAACTTTCTTCGCCTGTTCAACCATCCACATCAACACACGCGCCCCCTTCATTAAGATGATATGGCGGTGCCTACTTCTCCAGCTCAACGCTTCTCCAGCGTTGGTGGAGATTACAGCTTCGTCGAGATAAATGCCTGGCCGGAACACATTGTCCATATTACCAACAATGCTTTCTGTGCCTCGCAGCCATACCCTGTCTCAAGACGATACCCCACCCAGCGCGAATATTGCGAGTGCCTAGGAGGACGCTGCCTTGTCGACAACGCACCACGGAGAAACAGCTCCTGTATCAACGTACTGCAAGACATTGTTTGTGATGACGCCTACTGCTTCCTTGGTCCCTCGTGTGGAAACCGTATGCAGCAAAACTTCAACCTCGATCTCATATCGACTCGCGTCGGGCTCGGTGTCGTCTGTGGCACAACGATTCCAAAAGATTCGTTCATCATCGAGTACGTTGGCGAAGTGTTGCTAGGACCTGAAGCACAACAGCGCACCGACCAGCGCTACCAAGTTGAACTCAAAGCAAAGGCCAGCTGGGACGGACCCCAAGACATGTACATCGATGCCGCCAGGTGCGGTAATGAGAGCCGCTTCATCAACCATTCGGGTAACCCGAACTGTAAGCTATACGAGCTTGAATGGGCAAACACGTCGCGCTTAGGAATATTCGCAAACGAAGACATTCCCCCCTTAAGAGAACTAACATTCCGGTACCGGGAGTCCAACCGTTTGTTGTTCCGTTGCCAGTGTGGCGGCATAAACTGCATCTCAAAGTTCGACCCCAAGACCTGTATTTTCGAATAGCATTACAAAATCTGCATCTCCAAGCACGACTCCATTTCCAGTAACATTACCTCCCCAGTGTGGTAGGACTGAGAGCACATATATCACACTAGGAGTAGCAGTATTCACATCCATATAACTGATAAAAAAACACCATTTATGGTTAGCCCTAGATTGCGTATAGAGAATATATGGGTAACTAAACACAATAAAACGATTGCTACCGCTGGAAATATCGGCACGCCGAACCCCTCACGCACCGCCACAGTGGACGCCCGACGTCGCCCACTCTGTCCGCAGTGTATCAATACCAGGATATTACCAACAAGTTTGCAGAAACTATTCGTCAATCACGCGACGTCGATTTGGAAACAAGAAATTGAATCCTTCCAACACTCTTTCTGTCGTTTCGCACACAAGCTCATGTGGCGCACAATAGAAACTATTTAGATATAGAAATCGTACCAACATTGTACCAATTGAACCTGGTGAGGCTTAGTGAAAACAAGTCAAAAGTACCATATTTCGAGATTGCATTTCATTGGCCGAGGAAGGGACAAGTCAACTTGTTCGAGGTGCCAGCATGGATACTTCCAAGGGCCCATGCTTACCGTTTCACCTCGTTGTAGTTAATTTCTAAACTGCACATACACTGCGACTGCTGGGGCATGAAACTAAAAAGGGAACTACCGTGAAGTATACGTCCTAATCCCGGATACATATTAGAGTAACCGGGAAAAAAATTTGAGCACATTCAGACATTTGAAGGGCCGTCCCATACGAGTTTTCGCACCGACGCCTCTTACAAACTCCAAGTCAAAATAAAAAACACGGTCCGAACAAAAATTTAAAACAGGTGTAGCCACCTCCGAATTTCACAAATTTGGTTTAAAACTCGCCTTTGGGGTGATTCTTAGAGATTTTGCCCCTTTAGAAACGCAAGTCGACCTCTAGCTTTCAGCCCTTAACCTTTATCCCC